TGGCTATCATTTTCTACTAATTATGTAAATATATATATATATATATTTGCATATCCTTTAAACTCATTTCAAATGGTTATGGGCATTGAAATAGTGCACCTATCTATCTCTCTTTAGGTGGAGAGAGGTGGATAAAGCAGCCAGCCCATGAACGGTGGTCCAGGTGATTTGTGAGAGGTAGATGATGGTTACCCCGGGCCGTGGAACTGCTGCACCCTCGTTGGCAGTGTGTGTTGGTGCCAGTGCTGATGCTGCTGATGTCGTTGGTAGTAGTGTTACCTATAGGAAGGAACAAAAAGAGAGGGAGGGAAAGAGGAGAGTGAGAGGAAAGGAGTAGGGGTAGGTAGGTAGGTAGAGTGCCGCGGAGTATCAGGGGTGTAGCTACCTCGGTGCACCGTGGGGTGGATTCTTGGCTCGGGTCAGTGCCCTCCCGTAACATTGAACCACCCTTACGGTGCAGTCAGGGCCGTAGCTGAAACGCATGCGCGGCCCGAGCGGCCTCCCAGCACACGCCGTCGACATCACCACCACCGAAGTTACCATCGAAGCCACCACCGTCAACACCACCCTCAAGTACCAGACTCTTTTTCTCCCTTACTCGTCTCGGTACTTTGCTTTCTTCCCTTTTATACCACCCTCCTCCTCTCTCGTTCTATCTCTCTCTCTCTCTCTCTCTTCATTCTTCAACAAAACATTGCCCACGCCCTTTTCCCTTCCCGGCCACGATTTCCGACTCGATCGAAATTCTACTTTATCTCAACTCATGATTAGACATCGATGGTTGAAACTTCCTACCGATTCGAATACTTGATTCTACTTGAAAAAGTGCTCGATAAATAAATGAACCTGTAAAATCTCTCTTCATTATTACAAAGAATCTAAATACTATAAGAATTTATTAAAAGAAAAAAAATGAGGGAAGACATCAATAAGTATCAGTAGCTTTATTTTTGTAAAAGAAAAGTTCGATCTAAATTAAGATGGAATGATATCTTTATTTTAATATCTAGGTGCATTTCCAAGAGCACCGTTGTCTGGGATATAGGCGCATGTGAATTATAGGCGGGGCCGCATCAAGCTGCTTACGAGTTCCCTTTACGAGTGCCATCGACTGTGAGATCGTCGGCATCCAATTACTGAACGAATAAATAATTGCGTATACCATTTACTATCGCAAAATACTGCATATATTTTTCCAGAAGATGATAGTTACAAGATAACGCGTAAGAACTTTGTTTAACGTTGAAGATGGTAGTGAAGAAAATAAAAGAAAATTCAGATGAGATAATAGAAAAGTGCATCACGTATTGGAAAATGTAAAAAGTTTATTTTTCAATAACTTTTTCAATTCCATTAAGTTTTACGATTACAATGTAATTTTATAGTCGAACGTTTAGTCCTATTCTAAATGTAGATAAATTCATTTATTTGAAACCATATTAAAAACGTATCGAGGTTATCGATTTAAATGAAATCGTAATTGTCAGAACTAAAAAGAATTTCTTTTGATCTACTTTTCGTAGATGTTGTAAATAAGAGAAAAGTTGAAAGTTCGCGATCAGATAGTTCAGTGTAAGGTAATCGAGGCAAACGACGCACGGCGAATGCGCAACCGTCAGCGAGGAGTTCTACGAACTCTCCGTTGGTGCACTGAACTATTCCTACCGATTGTTCCGCAAAAGTGTTGACATATCTCTGAGCGAAAAAGAGTGGGAGGAAGAGCTTGAAAGCGAGGGGGTGGTGGGATACATCGATGAGGGACGTACGAAAGGACGCGGACGTAGGGGTTGCTATGAAATGACCTCATTTTCACAGTTGAAAAGCAAGTATCTTCTTCTTTACTATCAAGATACAACGATCCAGCGTGTTTTCTCCAAATAATTCCGCGGAGATTCAAGCTTTCCTTCTGTGAGAAAAAGCATAGAAACTGAATCTACTTCGTATCGAAATTGTTACTCTCTGTGGGGAAATGTCAAAAGACACAGAACCTCATACAACGCTTTCATACGCTTTTTCCACGCATACTTCGTAACTTTTAATAATATTACAGTCAAATGTAGCCCAGTTTTTAACATGTTACACATTTATTACATCTACATTTATACATGCTCGTTGTTGTTAGCTTAAATTTAGCATATTTATCGAGTAAAAAGATTCCTTGACCAAATATACTTGCAATCATAATAAAAAATATTGAACGAGGTCTTTGACCTTTGACATCGTCGACGTTTTAAAATGTTTCGATTTGAGATATCGAAAAGGGACAAAATCTATAGAACTTATTTTTGTTTCGTTTTGCCTCGTAATATTCTTGAGAGCTTCGACGAGAATGATGTCTTATAGACGGTTCTGTGCTAAGTATAATGTTAGAAGGGGGTACATTAATGTGCTTTTTCTCTTCCTTTCTCTTTCTCTCTTGCGCACCCTCCGAAGCTTGGAAACGTTGAACGTTCTCGAGAACCGGGTCGTTAAAAAAGTCCAACGGACTTAGCGTAACACCCTCGAGATTGCGAGAAAGTGTAGGAGAAGAATGCGAGTCGAGTCGTGCGGCACTCATTTACGAGCTCATGCACCACTGCACAACTCTCAGCTGACTTTCATCGAGAGTTTGGATCGTTAGTTGGACGACCAAATGAAAACCGAAAAGAAAAATCGAAGCAACTCGATATTCCTTTGCATCGATTTCACGAGCGGTTCCTTTGAATCTTGACAAAGTCAGTAAAAAGTGTTTCCTGATGCGTCAAAAAGTCATGACTAATGCGAAATTAAATCATTTTATTACTATGATACCCCCGAATCCGAGATTCCAGATGTATATAATATATCATATTGAATAATTTTCTAAATCTCATGTTTGTAATTCGAAGAAATACAAAGTAGCCTGGACCCCGCAGGATCTTTCGAGACTCCGGTTGGAGTCTCGGCCTTGTTGACACTTTTTTCTAAAATCACAAGTGACATATCCGCGGTAGAAAATCCGCGAGAGGAAGAGCACAGATAGATGAAAAGAATAAGAGGAAGAGGGAGAGAGCTGCAATAAGAAGAAGAGAAAAAAAAGAGATGTCTCTTTTGAGCAGGCAGTACACGGTGGGTGGCCGAAGATGGGTGGAAGTGGGAGGGTGGACAGGAGGGTTTGCCAAGCGTGCAACGAATGGAGATCGATTCTGAGTCTGGGTCAGGCGAGGGCGTTCACCCCCTGGTGCAGCCCGGGAGACATGGAATCCAGGGTCGTAGCTATGGTATCACCGACAGGGTGCTGCTAGCGGGCGGCGGGGATGGACTGCACGGGACACTCCCTTCGCTTGGGTGCAACGTACGTTCTCTCTTTCCCTCTTTCCGCTACTCCGAGCTTACCTCTCGTTCGCAGCATCCTTTCTCTCTCGCTCCGTCCGAAATCACAGCTCCGGACTGCGGATCCTGCAGACTGCGAGGCTCGATGCTACTACTACTACCTCTACCCCTCTTTACCTCTTTCTCCCTCTTACTCTCTATCCTTCTTTCTCTGTGTTTCTCTCTATTTTGCTCCCTCTCAAGCGTTGCACCGACCATTCGATGTCGCGTTGAATTTTCCGTACGATTTAACGTCTTCGGTATGCGAAAACATTCCGCGTACAATTGCGAAGGGGAATGCGGACTCGCTGACTCTGCCAAGAGGGTTGCCTTTACATTTTCTCCAATTTCTTTCTCTTTCTCTTCCCCTCTTATTTCTATCTCTCTGTCTTTCACTCGACTACGTTTTTAATGTAAAATTTTAATGTCCTACCTACCAGCATGGATCGTCTATTCTCGTTTAGTTCTCAACTTTTATCGATTTATCCGCTAACAAATATAGTATAGCTAATAGTATACACAAATATCTAGATCGGCACTCTTGCTTCACTAAATGATCCTTGATAAAGAAGAAATTATCCGATGAACTTTGATCATTTGAAAAATATGTCAGAAAATGTAATTATAAAGGTTGACAAATGATATCAATATGAATGATAAGATTATTATTCCTCCCTTAAAAGATATACTTTGATATGGAAAATTATAAATAGGATACTAAAGTACGGAGAAAGGATTCAACGCGTTTATTCGTACCTTCCACTTTAACCTGCCGGTAGCACGAGTCCTAGGACGAGGTGAACGATCGAGAGGGCGGTGGTACGTGACCTTTTGCACGAAGGATAACGGCGGGGCGAGGACGGGGAGAGTTTGCGCCACGGTAACGGAGGGTGAATGCACGTACAACGTACTCACCCTCTCTTTCTCTCACTCTCTCTCTCTCTCTCTCTCTCCACCTTTCTACCCTTTCCGCATCGTTCTCTCATACTCTTACGCGCGCACCAAACTATTAACGTACTCCTAGTGACTAATTGATAACTTATCCTATAAAATTCTCTAGTGTACGCCCCTATATAAATATTTTGAAAAAAAAAAAAGAAAAAAAAGACAATATCAAAAATCGATTAATCGATCGTCCATTTAGATCACAACGAGTATTCTCGTATAAATGTATATATTAAAGAAATGTTATCTTCGCTTATGGTCTATCTAGAATAATTACTTTATATTGAAAAAATATTAGAAATATTTCGTCTCTTGTTGAAACTAAATCAGTTAGAATTAAACCAGCCCTAATATTTATCAATTTTTAATTATGATTACCCTCTTACGACACTCTAGAGATCAGTTTTTATTAAAATAATACGTCATATTTTTGCACTTTTTTAATTAATACCGTACTTTATAATAGATGAGAAAACTTTTTTATCGACGTAGTAAACGAAAGAAGAGCTTCTGAGATGGCGCCACTTATCAGTATCCTCTAACATAAATAAACAAATAATTAACAATGATAAAATTTAGTATTTAGAAAATTCAATGAATAGAAAACTTTGAATAGAACACATTTTAACATATAATAAATGAATGATTAAAATGTGATAATTTTACAAACTTGCTAGCAAATCGAATTCACAACTCTGTTGGTAATAATGTTTATTACAAAATGGCTGTCTTTTTCATAACTTTCATTACGAGTAACTATCATTACTTGATATTTTAGAACTATGTGATTTTATATCCATATTTTCTAAAATGATATTATCAATTAATCTTTTAATAGTCATATCTGCTTTATTAATAAGTGGTTTGATAATTAAGTTACTCTTTTATCGTGGTTGCGTAAAAAGCATAGAAAATAAGCATGTTGTTGTGAGTATTTTTTGTATAACCTCATTTATCATTTAATAAAAAATGATTAATATGTGACAATTATTATATTAAATTTGCTAACAAATCTATTTTACAGCTATATTAGCACTTATGATTAGTTAAATTTGTCTTTTGATTTATTAATCTGATTTTCCTTCTATAAACATCCATTATGCACAACTGTCATTGCTTGATACTTTAGAATTATATTATTGTATGTTTATATTGTAAAATAGTATTGTCAATGAATTTTTGACCGTGATTATATTAAAAGCGTAGAAAATAAGCATGTCACGTGGTGAGTATTTTAAAAATATCATTTTACCCGTTTATATTATCAAAATGATATTTGAATTTTATTAGATAACTGGTGGTTCCAGTGGAATTGGAAAATCTGTAGCAATTATTGCTGCCAGAAAGGGAGCACATGTAACTATCATAGCTCGTGATGTAGAAAAACTAGAAAAGGCTAAATATGAAATAATGCAAGCTTGTAAGAATAGAGACACCCAACGAGTTGAATATTTACCTCTTGATATAACTAAGGATTATGAAGAAATACAAAAAGCATTTATGGAACTGGAAAAGACTATGGGTTCTATATATATGCTAATAAATTGTGCTGGTTCTTCTATGTGTGCTAAAATTGAAGATACATCCACTTCTGATCTACGTAAAATAATGGACTTGAATTTTTTCGGTACATATAATTGCATCAAAGCTGTCGTACAAAGTATGAAAACTGCTAAAGATGGAATTATTGTATTAACGGGCTCTGCAGCTTCTCTTCTAGGTAGTATTCTTACATTTGTTTTCTATATTACTATAATAAAAAAGAGGAAATTGCTAAATATATTATTTTTTGTATAGGTGTCTATGGTTTTTCTGCTTATTGTAGCTCCAAGTTTGCGCTGCGTGGATTGGCTGAGACTTTATCTATGGAACTTACTCCATATAATATATCTGTGACCCTCAGTCTACCTCCTGATACCGATACACCTGGTTTTGCTGAAGAAGAACTAACAAAGTTACCCGAAACAAAATTGATATCTCAATCGTCAGGTTTAGTTAAACCCGAAGTAGTTGCAGATATTTTACTTAAAGATGCCTTGGTAAGTTAAAAATGAAGTAAAATTAAGTATAAAAAATAAGTTACTTACTTGCTGTTAGACAGGGAGTACATATAACTGTTATATTATCAGATTATCATATTATTTCGTTGTTGTAGAATGGCAAATATTTTTCAACTGTTGGTTTAGAAGGATTCTTATTGAGTATAGTATGTTGTGGAATGTCTCCTTTCACAATTTCGGAAATATTAATACAAATGATAACAATGGGTTTCATAAGATTCATTAGCGTATTTTATATTATCTCATTCCAAAGAATTATTTTAAAATGTATGAAAACTCGTGATATGAATAAAAAGTCTGAATGAAGAGTGCTGTGGTACCAGTGCTGCCATCTTGACAAGAAGAAGGATTTGCGGCTTAGCAGCAATAAAATTAAATTCTATTTAAATTTCGTTAAAAAGACTGTATGTGTATTAACATTCCAAACAATTTCAAATGTAATTTGTCGCTATGTCAAAATTGGAGCAATAAATATACATTTGATTACGATAACGATTTATTACGCGTACACGCTGATAATGAGTCAAAATCATAGTTTCAGAATTATATAAGTTGTAAATATTCTTAGAAAAAAAAAAAAGTTGTAAAGGTAATTTAAAGAATTTGATAAAAAATCATAAATAAATAAATTTTCTCAACGGTTTGGCTTACTTTTATTTAGTATCCCGTAAGTTCATAGTATAATGTTCTTCATTAAGCTTTATGGTTCTTACACACATAGAACAGGGCAGTTCTTTTTTCCCTTTTTACCACGAATAATCGAAAACTTAAACGTTTAAACTGGTATGTATAGTGTACCTCAACGTGGAGTTTGCTCCAAGGGCACCTTGTTTCATTTCTTCAACCGAACTAACTGTCCTTCGTTGATACCCAGATTATTTTTATAGTTATATAGATTAAAGTTAAAAAAAAAAAAAAATGTTATCGCTTAAAGCACATTAATAAATGTATGAAATGGTTTGGAATGTAAAAAAAAAAAAAATGTAGAAAGTTTATTGTCTGGGTGTCGAAGTACAGAATAAAACTCAAAGATGATTAAAGATTGTGATACCCTAGGAGCTTACGATCCACACCTGCACAAAATTAGATTTAAACTTATATGTGTAAAAATGGCGGATAACGAAGACCAGTTTTGTTCTTTTTTTTTCTTTTTTCTTTTTTTGGTTTTATCTTTTAAACTTGCGAATTAATAATAATCGGTTTTAACATTGATTTCATTTTTTTTCTTTTTTTTTTTCTTTTTCCCTTTATTATTTCTCTCGCTCAATCATTCCGCCAATCACTCACAACTTTCACGCCATTCTTTCACGCTCACTCTCCTTTCGTCCTGTTTTTTTTTTTTTTTCGCAATCCTCGGCATCATCTCGTAGATCCTTTAAAGTTTATATTCCTCGTTTTAAACAATAAAGCGTCGTATAAGGTGTACGAACTATAATCCACGAGACGAGGCTTATTTCGAGGGATTTTTCTTCTTCTTTTGTTTCTTTTCCCCTTACTTCTTTTTTTTTTTTTTTTAGTTTTATTTTAATTTTATTTTTCTTTAATTTTTACTCGACATCCGCTTATTCGCTCGCTCGACAAAGTGTTGATCATTTCTCTTCTCTTTTGTTATCGGTTCTTCAATTTCTTCACATCGTATTTATTGTTCGTCGAACGTTCGAATTTGCAGATATGACGTATTAACGATTAATTAGACCCTTCGCTACGTGTGTTTGCCGCGTATTGTTAACGTGACGATCTTTTTTTTTTTTTTTTTTATATCGGAGGACTCTTGATAAATAATCAATCGCTCGTTCGATAAATAATTATCAGATTGAAATTCCCGAGTTGATGATCAGTTTTGGAATTTTTTCCTTTTCTCATTCTCGATACTCAAATGATTCGGAAATTTCAATCCTTTCCAAAATTTTTCTTTCGTTTCTTTAACGCAAGAAACGCAAGAAAAATCGTTTAGTCGTCCCGAGGGTTTCGATCGACAACGATAGGTGTATACCACGAGTCTTATCTTCCATCCGATTCTTAGCAGCTAAAAGTACTTTCTTTCGATTCAGCGATCAGGCTACACGCGCAAAGGAAAGACCTCTATTATCAATAAACGATCATTATTCATTGGATCGTAAAACATATTTTTCTTTACGGTCGAATCAACGTTGAAATTCTCACAGCGTGTTTTTATTTTCACCCCCTTAAGATTGTTGAGAAAAATTGTATTCTTTGTACACGCGTATTTTAAATTTGTTTTTCTTTGTTTTTTTTTTTTTTTTTTCGTTTTCACATGGACAGGAAAAATGGTCTAACGTCGGAGCAGAGCATAGACACAATTTCCTAATTTCATAATTTAAACAATCTTTACTCGACAATCCAATTTTCAGATGGCCCAAGTTCTCGGTCAAAAACTATTTTTTTTTTTTTGTTGATTTATCTTTCCCTTTAAACTTTCTCTCTTTTGTTTTTTTCGATCGTTCTGGGCCACCGATCAATTTTCATCTCAACTCGCTGATTCAACTCGTTTTAATGCTATCACAAAAATTGTTAACACGACTATAGACGCGTAAGAGCACATTGATGAACTTTTAGGACGGTCAAGCGTCGCTCAAATTAAATTGCTCTCTTTCTCTCTCTCTCTCTCTCTCTCTTTATCTCTTTATCTTTATCTCTCGAAATTCGTACCGCGACTCTCGGGAATCGACGTGGTTTAACCAAAGGGGATGCGGATCGGTGTTTCCAACGTTTCTTAATTGATCGATCATTCACGAAACAAAACTATCGATAGATCACAGAAGAAAAAATTAATAGATCCCGAAATATTTCTAACAGTCAATAGGATGATGATGTTTGCTAAAAATGATCAATTAATTTCGATCGATTAAGAAACGTATCCCTCTTCCTTCTCCCTTTTTCTGCTTTCTTCCAAATCCGCAGCCCATTTTGGTTTAAATCGAGAAAACCGAAAAATCAACGAACGACGGTGGCCTCACCGTCGTACCGTACGAGAACATAAAAATTCGCGACACTTAAGAGCTACAATAGAAGTTGGTACAAAAATTCAATGCTGCCTACGACGTTATAGTTTTATATGTACCCTAGACGACGTGTGTGTTTTTCGTGTTTATGTTTACATGTATGCGTAAATGTGTGTCTATTTATTTCTCCTCTCTTCACCGTTACCACCTTTCATGTCAACTCGTCTTTTTCTTCCACTTTACATCTTTCTCTCTCTCTCTCTCTCTCTCTCTTTCACGCTTTCTCTCTCTCTTTCTTTCACACTCTCTCTCACACATATACATTTTCCTCCCTTCTTATTCATCGTTAATAAAGGAGCGACTAGGACGAGCACGTTGCAAATTTCCTTCTTCCACCCAGCGAGGGGAGGCCGAGTTAAAAACGTGAAACTGAGCTCGCGTGTTTTAATTGTGGCCTCGAGGTGACATTCGTTGCTACTACTACTATCACCACCTTCTCTTCCTCCTCCTCTTCCTCTCTACTTTTTTTATCACCATAGTCAACGAAGAGTGGGGCCTCGCCGAGGCGCGGGAAGAAGGAAAAGAAGATACAAGAAGTCGTCCCTAGTCGCCCCTTTTTATTCGAAAATGCGTCATTCGACCAACGCCTTGTCGCGTCAGTCCAACGAACCCTTTCCCACCCTTCTTTCTCCTCCTCCTTCTCCTCCTCCTCCTCCTCCCTCTTTCCTTTTCTATCTTTTAACCGCTCGTTTATACATTCAACGAACGCACGCTCATTCTTCTTCTCTCAACACGTTTTCCTGTTCATTTTTTCTTTTTCTTTTCTTCTTCTTCTTCTTCTTCTTCTTCTTATTCCTTCCAACGCGCAACAAAACATTCAATCATCATCCAAGCACGCAAGTTTTTAACTCACACACATACATACACACACTAGCAGAGGCACTCACTCGCGCACGTGCACTTTTTATTATATCAGACAATATATCTTCATTTATATCCGTTTAAATCTTACGCTAGGCGTTTAATTAGTGTTACATCTAGTCGCGTGTGGCCGGCCCGTGCTAACCTCGGACCCTTTTTTTTTTTTTTATCCGATTGAGGATAAACGCATCCATCCCCTATCGTTCGTTCTTACCCCTTTCCTTTCCTTTTTCTTTTTAACGTAACTAATTTTCTTATCTCATTTTTAACAGCTAGTAATTCGCATTAATCTTCGAGAGATTGATCACAAGCCCCTCCCCGTAATTGGAATGCGATTTGTGTGGAAGAAATGAAAATTCATAAGAATGAATTTATCCAAATTCTCATGAATTTTACTACCATTGTTTCGCGATTTTAGGAAAGGGGTTAGATCGTGATTATTTTTAATGGGAAATTTCTCTCTCTCTCTCTCTCTCTCTTTCTCTCTCTCATTCTCTTTTTCATTATCATATAGTGTTATCTTCCCTTTCTTTTATGCGATTACATCAAACCGGTTAGCACAGGCGGCCAGACCCATTCCAATGCGTTTACGATCCGAAAAATTACACAGTAACGTTATTTATCTTTTTTTTTTTTTGTTTCTTTAGTGTAACACGTACGGCATATCGTTAGTTAACGTTACGTTATTTATGTACTATGTATTTACAATCACATGAATCGTAGATATTCTAAACGTGTCGTTCGTCATTTTCTTATTCTTACTCTTACTCTCTTTCTCTTTATTTCTTTCTTTCTTTTACTTTCTCATACTCGATATATATACTTCATCGTTTTTTATCTTTCATTACGTGCTACTAAATACATCTCAGCCGACACCGTACGATCTTTTCGTGACACTTTCACGACGATGCCCTTTTAAACCTTTCGAAGGGATCGTAATTTTCCGTTGGATGTCGCCTCTCGTTTACTCGACGAGCTGAAACTTGTTCAATACTCAACACCATTGTGCAACGTATCACTGCGCGCGTACACATATACATATACATATACATATATATATTAATCTGCTCCGTTTGTATATATATACCTATATATATATATTCATTTATTTATATAATATTATAAAAAACATTACTCTCTTATTCTGTCTTTCTCTGACTCTCTCTCTCTCTCTCTAACTTTCTCTCTCTTACTCTCTCCTTCTCTCTTTCTAATACTCGCGAGAATTAAATGAAAACTCACGAAAGGGCTCAATCGATGATTGAAAGAAAACCCTTCACAAAAAGCTTGTATATCCGTCCTTGTCATTGCGTGTAACCGTACGTGCGAATTCGTGAATTACGATGATGAAAACCTTGTTTTATTTTTTTGATAATTGAATAATAAAATTTCAAAAACAAGATGAGAATAACGAAAGATATTAAATATATTTTTCTTTTTTTTTTTTTTTATATTACGAGTCACTCGTACGCACGCTTCCACCTATACACCCACGTACGCAGCCCATGCACGAATGCACGCAAGCACGCACGTACGGTTACACGACACGCTTCGATGTTTCGTGTTTATACTCAATGCGCTTTTTTACCGACTATAACAAGTCTCGTGGATCGATACGAGAGAATCATATTATTTAGTTTCGTATTATTTAATTTTTATCATTTAATTACACCATTAACCCCTTAAGAGAGAGGAACAATTTTGGCTCAACGTAATACAACACCGCTCGAGTTAACTCGAGCGTGCAACTTAAGCGGGGTTAATAATAAATAAATAATATACACCGTTTTAATGTACTATTTAAATAAAATATTATAACAATTTTTTCAACAGATTCTTTTTCTTGTTGTCTTTTTTTTCTAACGAGAAAGATTTTTAATTATCGAAATGTCTTTAATATAAACGTCACGAAATTTCGAACGTATATCACGAAGACGATCTCGGAGGAAGATCTGATATGGAGGGGTCGACATCGACATTTGATATGAACACTTTTCTTTTTGGTAAATTGAAGCTTGAAACCTTGTCGTCTTCGTATATAAAGTATAAATCGATTTTCTTTCTCATATACAAAAAAAACAAAAAAAAAGAAAAACAAAAAATGAAGAATCTCGCTATGTTTTTTGGCTAATCCATCATCGATGATGTATAGGAGGGAAAGGATTTTGTCGGTTCGATTATAAACACACACATAAAAAAAAGAAAACTTAACATAAGGGTAATATGATCTCTCGTTACGATCCTGAAATAAAAAACGGTATGGACGTCGAGTATAGACACGTTAAGCTAATCGATTTTTTTTTTTTTTTTTTTGAAATATAATTAATCGCATAATCTTCACAAGATTTCATCGAACAAGTTTCAATTCTTTCGAGTGGCGCGGACGAAGTTTCTTTTATCTCACTTCAATCTCTCTCTCTCTCTCTCTCTGTAATTTTCTATCATTCTTCCTCAAACTTTCTCATGATCCTTTCATAATTAACTATCACCGACTAGTAAAACTTCATTTAGTCGGTAATTAACAGAAATTACGATACCCTTCGATAACCTCGACACAGGACCTCCACGATCGTTCTAGTGACGCGCGCGATCATCGATTATCGGGGGGGTTGGGGGTGAAGGGGGGCATCTCGTTATCGAGAATCTTTATACTTTACTTTACTCTTTTATTTTTTTTTATTTTTATTTTTTTTTTTTTGTATTTCATTAAACCTTTTTTCTCTCTCTCTTCCTCTATAAAGATTGGAACACGCGAAAACGGGAAGATCGTGATAAATTTATTGAGTAGCGTTTTTTTTATTTTTTTTTTTTTTTTTTAAAGCAAAGAAAATAACGCGATATCGTTGTGCCATCGTTATTTTTTTTTTTCGCAGCAATCTCACAAATGTACAATTTTTTTTCATATTTTTTTTTTTTCGTTGCTAAATTTGAATTTTTTTTTTTCGTCTCTCTCTCTCCCCATATTTTTGTTCACTCCTTTTTTTTTTTTTTTATTCGTTTTCTTTTTCATTTAAAAATAGAAGGTGTGGGTTATTCTTCTTTTTCTTCTTCTTCTTCTTCTTCTTCTTCTACGTTAAACTCCGTCCGTTTGTTTATTGAAAATAAATGAAATTAAATTGGATCACGATCCTCGCGTAATTACGTCGTCATTGTATACAAGTTAGACAGGTTGTGAGAAGAGAGATGTTACGACGACGGTAACAACAAACCTGTCCCCCTGCGGAAAAACTCGGACGAATCCAACGAAACACAATCGTCACGAGTTTATCTAAATTCCCTAATATACTAACGGCCGGATCATACTGTCTCGATAGACGAAATGCATCTCTAATTAATTTTAGAATTTCATCCCTCTGGGAAGAATTTATTTTGGTTGGACACCTTGATATTGTTGATAAACGATAAGATTGGGGGGTGGTGGTGTATTTCGAATATTCAATATCAAGGTATACAAAAAGATCGTTTTATTGTATTTTGTTTTTCCCATTTCTTCGTTATTTTTGTTCTCCCTTTTTTAGACCATTATTCTCCGAACGAATCCGTCACTCGAACGAACGATCAACAATATTATTTGACTATTCTCCTAACACCTCCGATTATCCCGTTTCGGCTCGATTACAAAATAAAACGAGCGGTCAGTCTTCTTTCAGCGACGATTTTTAAAAACGATGATCGTTTTCTTTTTTCTACGAGAGCTCGTCGACTCTCATTCCTATTCATTTCTCTTTCATATTTTTGTCTTTTTTTTTCACCCATCCCCATACAGAAATTCTCGATTCTCTCTCGACCCTGATCTTTCCTTTAGATTCTTATCATGATATTCTAGCTTTAACGCTTTCCAAGCTTCTTCCTCTTCTTCTTCTTCTTCTTCATGATATCGAATGATCGATGGAAATGTTTGTTCCTTTTTATTATTTCTTTCTCCTATTAGAGAAATCCCTTTCGCCGTGGATTTTTTAAATGAATTTTCACAGCGTATCATGGCCCGAAGATAATCGATTCTCTTTGCGCACGCTCGCCAGCTAACTCGCTCACGTTCGTGCTTTGGTCCTTCTTCACGAATGATCCTGATTATCGTTCCGACGTGAAGTAAGATGGATTTTTCGAATAAAGGACCATAACGGCTAGAAGTACGAGAACGTAATGCCGACTTCCGTGACTCGAATAAAGCGTTACAACTCCGGCAAACCACCAAAGTGTACGACAACCGCCACAAGCCGAACTTATTCCTCTTTGAATAGCGGCAGGATGTTCTCCTAAAAGAAAAATATTTATAATAATTGATCAAATTTCTTCTAAAATTGAAAACAAATGTTTTCTTTTGACTTACCATTCAGTACATGTAATTGTACACTGGCACTATCCAAATTACTCGGACTGCAAGTGTAATTTCCCGAGTCCTCCCTTTTGGCGTTGTGAATCACCAAACTGCTAATCGTATCGTGATCGATCCTTTTAGTCTGTATATCGATTTTTCCCTGTTGATAATTGAGAACGCGATCGCCCTCGTGATACCAGAAGACGTAGAACGGCCCCTCGAGAGATTGTTTTATCATGCAACGTATTGAAACCGTGCTTCCAGTTTTCACGTACATGTCCCGGTCTCCCAGGATCTCAATCTTTGGCACTAAAAAATTACAAAAAAAAAAGCATCGAACGTATTTCTATCACTTTTCTATAACCCAGTTATTTTCCTCATTTTTTGTGAACTTTTTCTATTTTAATTTATGATCCTTATCGTTCTCGAGCTATTCTCGAGAAAAGTTAAAAAGTTTAACGTTTCGTTCAAATCTCAATCGACTCGGTTAACAAACTTTTCATCCAACGAAAGTGAATAAAAGCGAAAGTCTACCGTAGTCGTCGTTGTGATTAAGTGAACGCTTTACTTTCGTTCGTTTAATCATTAAACTCACTCATAAGAGAAAAGAACAAAATCCTTCGGAATAAGAAGAACAAAAAAATAATAAGAGAGATGCTGCTCTTTTTAACCAGTTAACTGTGATGTTCCATTTTGAAATTTCTTCTTACACATCTTGGAAATTAAAGAATATGTTTCATTTATCAAAAAAAAAGTTACAATTTAAATAGCAAATAAGTCATTACGTTTTACGTATGACAAGTATACCAGTCCTGACACAAAATTCTGCCACTTTTTCATAACGAGTATACACGTCAAACTCAGTTAACCGGTTAAGAAAGTAGTTCACATCTTGGCAAAGCTCACCGACGATGTTGAGCTTGATAATGTGACTCTTCTTAGGATCCGTCGAGATTTGGCACTCGTATTCTCCTTCGTCTCGTGCCTGGACGTACTTCACCTGCAACGTCCAAGTGTCCGACGCGTCCGTGAAGATCGCCTGGAACCTTTCGTCTGGGATGAACATGGTCCTATCCACGGATAATATATGCGAGTCTCTTCTCCTGATCCACGAGACCTTATTAATTCATTCTTTATTATTATTTTTTGTATATATCTAAGTTAATACAAAAAATAAAATAATCAAATAAAAGAAGATACATTTCTTATGTCCAACGATTAGAAAGTAATTTCCGCTTCTTTTTTTGTGTGTCCTATCATAGATAAACAATTTAAAAGATAAAAAAAAAACCGGTAGATCGATTAAGATAAGACAAGCTCGTTATTATCTTTCCCCCTTCTTTTCTAATCCCCTCATCGTCAGGAAATATTCTCTGTTCGAGGAGTAAAAAGGAAATTCGTCGAAATGAAGGAAGTTTCCGCTTCGCCAGTCACGATCACAAATCATCCCTGGGTAACCTCTTGGCTCATATATTTATTCCGAAGAGGTAGATGGTGGTAGTGGTGGTACAAGAGAAGCAAGAGGAAGAGAAGAAGGTAGCGTATAAATATAAGAGCGGTGAGGTGGGTAAAGGGATGGAGTGGGGGAAGGGGTAAGAAGGAAAGCTCGTCGTTAGGTGACCGCGATCGATCTTTCTCTCTGAACCCTCTCTCTACGAACCTTTCCATATCTTAATGTATCGTCCATTGACCGGATATTTAAACGAGTCTACGTGCTACGATAACTCCTACTCGTCGTACATATATATGTATATACATACATACATACATATTTAAATAACGACTACTCGTATATAGAAAGTACAAAGGGAAGAAGCATTTAATTTCTTGACCGATAAGCATATACTCCCTTCAGTATCGTAGAAAGATCCTTAAATCCCTTTGAGTGTAGGTTTTTCCATGACGATTATACGAAACTTGCGTGTTTGTCGTAAGCTTTGTCGTCATTGCTATTATATTCTTTCTTTCCCTATTTTCTAGAACGTACCTAACGAATCTAATGTTTTCTCACTAGAGATAGGAGAGAAGGGCACGTTTCATTCTCGATGCGATAAAATTTTATCGTCTTTCAACCCCAACCCCCTATTTTCACTCCGGTTCCGTTGTCGTCTCTCTTTATACTGAATTTTCGTTTAACCTTTCTCGTTCGAAGGTATATATTCAAAAGTAATTGTATCATCAACTCGACAAATATTTGACTCAATGAATAAAGGAAAGGGAAGAGAGAGGGATGGATTTGTCAATTTTGTGTATAAACTTTCTTTTTGAATTTCATTTCTTTGATCACTTTGTTGCTGTACTTTCTGTTTTTTTTTTTTTTTTTAAATATGATACGAGGTTACGAACCCAGTTACTTTTCGTAACAATCGTTCATCAAAAACATTATATAATATATAAAAGTATTATTCATTTAGGGGTGAAACTTCGTACCGTTAAGCTTTGTCACATTGTAGATTACTTATGACCTTTAAGTTGGCCTTTAAGTCGGCCAGTAGCGTGAGTTAAAGAGATTATTTTTAGCTTTTGCACATCGCAAAAAATCAAAGCAAGGTCGAAGCTTTTCGAATCGTCGTTGCGTGTCGCATGTGTTTACGCGCGATAAGAATCCACAGGAAAAAAGGTAAGAAGAAATAATTCCCGGTTTGCTTCTTTACTATTTCTCGTTTCGTTACACCTTGAAAGGAAAGAAGAGAAAATCGTAAGATAATAAAAAATCTTTTTAAAATTTCAAAAAAAGTTTGCTTTCGAATCTACGAACGTGCACGTTCAATAGACGTGCAAGTTTCCAGAGAGTTTTCGATAACGAGTCACAAGGGAAAAAGCTTTTCTTGCGACGTTCAGCGTGTGTTCAAAGTTTAAGAGCAAGAAAAAGATCGGTTTGAAAATGGATCATCGATAAGTAGCGTTAGAACTATCAACGAGTACACACGAAGCAAATGAAACTATCTAGAGTCAGTTAGAGAAGTCAAGGTTAAAAGAAAGAAGTAGAAGAAGAAAAAAGAAAAGTAAAATGAAAATAGTGAAAACGTCGACCTACCGATTTGTTACCGAGCTGTCGTACTTTGCACGGTAGGTACGCATGAGTACCTAATTGAGCTGTTATGTTCGTAGGTGAATTAGAGTCAAAATACGGACCCGTGTAAATCCCGTCGAACCTCTTCACCAAGGAATGCGATCTGGTGCTCACACCTGAAACAAACATCGGATATCGATATTTTCTCCTTAATAAAATTTATGGTTAAATTCGATCTTATCAAAAGACATAAAACGTATATAGAACATATGTGTATGTACTTGTATAAATAATTCACACACACACACGTATACTTTGACGTAGTTTAAAGTCTTTCCCTTTAAGTAGACAAACCCTTGTATGGATTCATTTCAAATCGACTTCTCTTTGGCAAAGACTGTGAGCTGTTAACGTGCCAGCCAGCAAGCCGACAAAAACCGCAAAGAGGAGATACGAGAAAAGGTAACCTGACCACAGTATAATAACGCGAACGCAAAAGGGCTCTTGATGATTCGTCGTGTTGGAACAAAGAGCGCGAAAGCTTCGCGACTATAATTATATGAAGCGCAACGAGGGTAGAACAGCAGTAGACTGACGACGTGTATACGTGTTTAAAAGTATATACACGAAAATGTTCTGTATTACGTCGACATTACCTTCACCGCCATTAACTGGAACACGCTAGTACGATCTCTACATTAGGAAGGGATTAAAAAGAACAAAGCTAGAATTACGCCGTTCCTTTGTTATCCTTTCCGAGGGAACAAAAATATAAAGGGTTTGTCCTTTGCCTAAAGGGTACGAATAAAAATTGTGGTATAAAGCCTAAATCATTTTTTCTCACATTCAAATGACTTTTGTTCCTAACACCTTTTACCGGGGGGGATCTTTCTTTTGCATTTTACGATGATGTTCTTGCATGTTCTCTAAAGAGCAACGACGAAATAACAAAATGAGAACATAAGAGAGAGAGGGAGAGGAGAGTCTCGCGTTTCCATCGTCTAAGCGTAACTCAGGTAAGAATACTTTGCAAAATAAATCCTATTAGGATCCTGGCAAGCCGTGCAGGTACCTTAGGGAAATGGATACTAATCCAGGGGATCTTGATGCAAGGAACTCAAAGGCAGATCAGCTGCATTCGCCTCGAGGAATCGCATGGGCTTCATTCCAACGACCTTGAATATTCCTGTTTTTTGTTATAGTTGTGTAGCATGAGAATAAGGAACGCACTATCATCTATCATTTCCTTTATAACTTCCTTCCTTCCTTCAATTTCGATAGGCAGGATCGATTTACGATTATTTTACTCCTATATCATACACACCTAAGTACATCCTACGATGTGCAATAGGCTCTTATCGACATTTTTCAACGTGTATGCGAGATGGCTATTACGAAGATGGTTATAACATGTGGTACGTTATATTTTTGCTCCAATTTTTGCATTTTACGATAAAAACGGAGAACATGGTTAAAATAAAAGTAAAAATATATCGGGGAAATTCCACTTTTAGTTTCGCGTAGCGTTTAATATCCAATCGACCTATCGAAGTTTTCTGAATAAAAAAAAAAAAAAAAGAGGACGAGAGAAGGAAGAAGAAAAAAAAGAAAAAAAAATGGGAACGATAACGATCCAGTTTGCTGGAATACTCGGAACTGGGTCTCTCGTTAGCGTAGCGAGTAGTCGAAAGTTGGGTCTTTGTGTGCGCATCGGTGGAAGCGCGGAGGAAAGTCTACCGATATGATTGGGCGTCATTATTCTTCCGGATTGGACGAGGCAGCTTTGCTCGAAAGGGCCGATCCTCCTAGGAGATGGTCCGATGTGTGACGACGTAAATGCTTGACACAAATACGCGTAATTTCTCGTGGAAAGCCTCAAGAATGGATCGATGGGCATAGTAGTAGTTGTAGAAGGAAAAGGGGTAAAGGTATGAGACGATGAAAGAATAAAAAAAATAAAAAGATGTAAATATACCAGGGTCGTAGATGACAATCGCGTTGGACTATTCGAAAGATAGTAGAAAAAAATATCTCTCACGTTAACCGATTATCGAACGCATCGATTGCTACGAAGGTCACCACCGTTTAAACCACCAATTAATCGATTATCAGATATTTTCTTTTTTTCTTCTTCGACATTTTACCACGAGTTGAAACACACGAGTGTTACTACTCTATTGTATAAGTTATTATTATTATTATTATTATTATTACTAGCGTTATATAACATTTCGATAAGATAGTTACTTGTATTAAAATTAATTGTGATAAAAAAAAAAAAAATAAAAACACGTTACAAATATAGCATTTAAATAACATTTCTTAATGTGTTTTTGTAATCGTGCAAAAATGTTTGAAGGGTGACGTCGAAATATAACCAGGGATATGCGCATCTAACGCATAGGAGGATGAGGAGGAGTAGGAGGAGGAGGAGGCAGATGCTTTGCAGAATACTCGAACCGGTACAAAAGATCCTGAGGGATGTAAAAATCTACGCAGAGGCGCGCACGCGCGCACGCCTCTTCGCGATTCTTTCTTTCTCTCTCTTTTTTTTTCTTTTCATTTTTTTTTTTTTTACTCTCTTTTGCTGCCACCCCATCGAAATAATTTGCCTATCCGCAAGAAAAAAAAAGGGGCCACACACAAATAGCGGTCCTACATGCACACCGTTACTTACTGTGAGACACATTTTTCATTTCAGCCCTCCGAGGCATGACTCTCTCACTCTCTCTCTCTCTTTTTCTTTTCTCTCTCTCTCTCTCTCTCTGTCTCTCTGTCTCTCCTTTTCTCTCGTCAAGATTGTCGTAAATGCTCCGAGCGAGGGAACCCCGAGGAAGAAATGTGCTACTAGCAAAAGGGGAGAGAAATCGTTCTCCTCCTACCTTTTTCCAGACGAAGGGGACACACTAGAAAAAGATGATAGAGAGTGTATGAGAGAGAGAGAGAGAGAGAGAGAGAGAGAGAGAGAGAGAAAAGGATGATTCGAAACTAATTTTCCAGCTACGACTTAGCTTTTTCCATTTTCATCATTCGGGAAATCAAAAGTCGTTCGTGATTTGTCATCGTTACGTTAATATGTCGACAAAAGAGGATTCACGTATAAAAGTATTCTTTTTTTTTTTTTTCCCCAATCAGATCCATGAGGGAGAAATCGAGTATGAAAGAGGAGGAGGGTTATGTAAAAGAAAAAAAAAAAAAAGAGGAGAAGATTTGTTGTAACGTATATTTCCCTGGAGTCGTAGAAAGTCGACTTGGGGGTCACCCCAAGAGGTTGCGTCCTCCTTTTCGCTTTATTAGAATGACACATACGCAATATTGTGTGTCGGTGCAAATTTTACGACGTTGTCACGTAACTCGAAACCACTAGATAAATCTAGATTTCAGATAGTATACTCGAATAGAACGCTGACACTCGATTTATGTTATCGTTTTTTCTCTCTCTCTCTCTCTCTCTCTCTCTCTTTCTATTTCTCTTTAACATCGTAAGCCAAACGACGTATTCTTGGCATCCTAAACCAACATCTTGGAAACAAAAGTATTTACTTCTTCTTTTAGTTTATGCGAAATATTTTACGTAACTTTTTTTTTCTCTCTTTTTATCTAACGGTAATCAAAAGAATAACAATTTGTCTACTATGATTTATTTGTTGCACTTTATCATTTTTTAAATGGTTCCAAGAAACGATAAAAAGTGTCGCAAAAATAAGGAAAAACTCGAACGCGAACTATGAAAGGAAGGGGAGGGTGATTATGAAGGAAGAAAGGTTGTACCGGTGTACACCTTCGTCACGAAGCAATGCAGTAGTAAAGTCATGGATCATTTATCAATTTAACACGATTGTACAGGTGCATATAAGTAATATACGTTGATACGTCATCACAATGTTAAGCTTTTCTTCGTTAAGTCGGGCAATCGCAAAGTTGGGATCTTAGTTTTGAAATGAAAAATGGAATTTTTCTTCGTACCACGAGAAAATAGGAAATAAAAGAATGATGGTGAACCGTGCTTTTATCCCTTGGCATATTCTCGAAAGGGATTTCTTATTCTTGGAATTAGCATGAGCGCGATAAGGAGCTTGAAAACACGCGAGTATTCTGGTTGGCACGTTCTTCGAACTGATTTTTTCTAGAATCCAGGTATACATAGGTTGGTTACCACAACATTATTGAAGGTTTTGAACAGAATGTACAAAGGGCCAGAGGAAAAGGTTAGACAGGTATACGCGCGCGCACCAAACTAAACCTCGTTCAGTTTTAAATATGTGTGTGTGTGTGTTTGTGTGTGGCCGCGAAGCATAATCGGCTGTTGGGGTGCATCGCGAACTCGTTTTATTCCATTAACTCGATGATAGAAATTAATCCTCTCAATATGGATGAAAATTGCTATTGAACAAAGTAATTTGCAAATATGTTTAAGGATTTTATAAAATTATCCATTTATCCATAATCATTCGATCAGTTTAATTAGAGTTCCTTGTTATTATCTTGGTTAAAGAAAATGTTGTTTAGTATTAATATTTTGTAGAAAAACAAAATGGATATTAAGTAGAATCACTGTAAGATTACTGGATTCAATAATAATGATATTTCATGTCCCGAAATAAATCCTAAATCAGAAAGATAATCTGGCTATCAGATATTTCCGACTTAATTCAATGAATAGATCTTTTCTAGCAAGAAAACTGTTTCCTTTCTATTATACAGGGGAAGAATAAAACTCTTTTAAGTACTAGATAAGAATTGAAAAATGACTGTGTCAGTTCCATTGACGTGTATTTCCGCCGTCCGGAATACGAATCCGAGTATTCTGAATCATCGTTAGTCGTAAGATTGAAACGATATCGAAAGATCGATTGACAAATCCCGTTCAATATTCTGCACTATTAAAAAAAAAAAAAAAAAATAAGAACATTGTTATCACACAGATGCAAAAGCAGCGTAGGTTCATTAAAAAGATTTCTCTCGATGTTGGGAAAAGTTGAAGAATCTTCTTATAATCTTCAGATGACAGTCAGATGAGTGTCATCAATGTTACGTACGACAAATATCGAAATACACGTCAAAGAAAAAAAAAAAATCCCTGAGTCCAACTGCATCGCGATCGATGCAGCGCCAAGGATGAATATGGATAGATATATAGATATTTTTTGTACAATTATTATTATTACTATTATTGAAAAAGAAAAAAAACGATAAGGTCAAAGAGACATCAAAGTATCCGTCGTACAAACTTCAAGAGATAAGTGTATCGCATTTTCGAGATAAGAGTTTTTAAGTGAGAGTAAATAAAGAAAGAAAAAAAAGTTGCATCGTACGAGATAGAAAACAAAATAATATTGCAATTGATTTTTGTATCAAATTGAAAGGGAAATGCATGAGATGGATTCACGAGATCGAAAAAATAACTGATAAATCTAGTTACATCAGGTTTAATGTAACGAGAACGTGCTAGAGAATCGATATACGCGCTCGTGAACGACGTCACGAGATAGAAAAAAAAGGAGTACCACCCCCCTTCCTCCCCTTGGCTCTCCACCCCCGACGATGGAATCATCTCGTCGACACGGTGACCCGACGGGAAACGAGAGAACGAAAGAGAATGAGAGAAAGGGAGAAATACAGAATGGGATTATTCGTGAAGAGAAGAAAAAAAATAGAAGTGGTAGAAGTGGAAAATAAAGAAGGAAGTAAAAAAGAAAACTAAAAAGAGAAAGAGAGAAAAAGATAGTGTAAGGGTGGGCGCGAAGAAGAGCAGGAGGAGGAGGAGGAGGAGGAGGAGGAGGAGGGTGGCTTTACAATGCCGCGACGCGACAAACAAGGGTGGCGCTAGATACAATTGTGAACCTGGTCCGGGGCCAAAGCTTCTTCCTCACATTCTCTCTCTCTCTCTCTCTGTTTCTCTCTTTCAGCATCCCTAAGTTCTTTCTCTCTCTCTTGGTCTTTTCAGGATATTTTTCGATACTCCTTTATTATTTTGTCCCTTTAGTTTTAAAAAGGATCATCGATTGGCAAGTGTCAGGAGAATTCTTGTTGTCCAAAAAAGAAGAAGAAGAAGAAGAAGAAGCACTTGAAACGTAAAAGCAAAGCCAAAGCCGTAGAACAAAGAGATTGGAGATAGTTGATGATGATGGAGGGGGAGGGCAACCATGAAGGATCAAAAAATAGATCACGCGTGTTTGAGATACGCACGAGAAAAACGTATGCACGAGACGCGCACGGAGACAACAACACAGCTACACCCGAAAATCCGATCGATCCACCACCACCCGAGCACCGACTTCACCCTTTCTCTCTTGTCCCCTTCCCCTCTCCATCTTTCTCTTTCCCTCTTTTCTACCTTGTTCACATAAATCCAAAAGATCGGTAGAGTTTCGTCTATCCTCTTTGCGTTCGCATGATTTACGAACTAACCTGGGGGTCAATCCTTGTTTGACTTATCCTCATCCATATGTTCACACAGTTCTCTTTTTTGTTGATTTTTTTTTGTCTGTTATCTTACCGGTAATACCCAAAAGAATCCAACAGACGAGGCACAGGACGTAATAGTTGACGTAAGAGGATCTCCTCATGATGACGACGACAACGACGAAGACGACGACGACGACGATAACGGCGACGACGACGACGACAACGTGGATGTCTTCAACCGATGGTCAACTGACATCTCACAGCGCGCACCACACCGTCCTGGTGCAACACGCCACTCTCTCCAGCCTCCTATTTATATCGCTCTTCTCTCTCTCTCTCTCTCTCTTTCACACTCTCTTTCTCTTTTCTTCTTTATTGGTCGCGCGGTAGTTCGTTCAATGGCTTTATCCTTTATCTCGGTTTCTCTTTCTTAATCCTTCGTCATCTCACCTAAAAGTTCGTCCTTGTCAATCGGTGTTGCTACCAGATGTCTCGTTCATGTCTTTCTTTCACCTTTTCTTATTCCTCTTTCCACTAATACACCACCTCCTCCTTCACAAGCAGCGACACCTTGCAATAATATTCTTTCTCTCTCTTTCAACCCAACTTGAAAAGACTATAAAAGTCTTTTGGTTTATTCAATTTAACACCTTCTACAACGACGATCACTATATCACATATTAGGAGTAGTTGGATTGCCGTTGTCGTTGTCGTTGTTTAATAAAAATCGACGCGAGAAAAATGAAAAGAAAAAAAAAAAAGTTTCCTTTTGTCATACGTCAAAGAATCTCTCTCGCTCGAAGCCCTTATTTTTTTTTCTTTCCGTATATTTTTGTTTTCCCTCCTCGATTATATTCTAGTTGACACTTTTAGGAGGGCAGCGTAGCCCTCTGGATAACGCACGGCCGAGTTTTGCGTACAGGTCGTCTGCGGTTCGTCGTCCCGGGCGAAGCTCTGAAACCGCCGGGCCTCCGGTGGCACTGCCCGCGCCCGCCCGGGGATTCCGCGCAGGCGTCCTCATTCTCTTTACTCCTCCGATCACTCAGCCTCCTCCTCCTCCTCCTCTTCTTCCTCTTCCTTCACCCTCTCCAGCAATCCCCCCTACCATCTCCTTCGTCTATTTCTTCTTCGTCTTCTTCTTCTTCTTCTTCTTCTTCTTCTTCTTCTTCTTCTTCTTCTTCTTCTTCTTCTTCTTCTTCTGCCCACATACCCCGTGGCGTTCCTCTCACCTTCCTTTCTATCTATCTCCAACTACCCTCCAAGAACCAATCCCTCTTTACTTTAACTTATTTTCTTTCTTTCTTTTTCTTATTCTTCTTTATTCTTCGATACTCCAGCAGTGCACTCTTTAACGCTTACATTCTCAGATTCCATCTATTTTCTATCTTTGTTTATTCCCAGCAGCAATGTCTTAACAATTTTCTATTACCTTTCAGCTATTTTCTTTTTATTTGAAACTTCTTGATTCCCATTTTTTAACTTACAAATTTCTAATGAGAATAATCGGTTCGTACAAACGATGTCACATTTCTAATACTTGCTTCACTAACGAACAAGATTCTCGAGTATTACATTATCAATAAAAACTAAATCAATAGATATGTTCTAACTCGTAATATATTATGATACGTGCGATTAATTATTTATCATTTACCTGTGTGATTTATTTGTTTGATAAATAATTTTAGTAATTGGTGCGTACAACGCGTTTGAACTTTGTTTCATGTAAACCTTATATTCTTCTTTATATCTTTAACGATACTTACTTTTAGTCGTTGCTCTTTATT